GGGGGGGGGGGGGGGGGGGGGTGTTGTGTTGGATGTTTTTTTAAAAAGTAGGTGGGGGGAGGGGGTAGAGCATCTTTTAGTGCCAAAATTATATATAATGCCCAGGGCCGTCTCCTTCAACCCTGCCATACCTAAACATAATCTATACCACACTGAAGTACAATCATACTTCTGCAAGTTAAAGAAAATCATTTAATTATTAATATCCAGTGCTTTTTCTTTTAATAAAAAAGCGCCGTTATTGTCACTTTGATTGGGGAGGGAGCATATATAGAGGTTATATATGGAGTGCTTTGCATAAATATATATACAAGTAATACAGATACAAATACTGTTTCGAGGGGTTTTGTAAAAAAGATCTAAAGATTTTTATAGCTATTTAAAACGAGTCATTTTTTAAAATAAATTGTATAGAAATGTCATAATTATGTACGGGAGACTGGATATATTTACAAAAGACATAGTGTATTTATTAATACATGACATATCTGACACATTCATTAACAAAAAGGGCAACTTGATGCCCCTAGAAGCGTGGGGCTCCTAAGAAGTGTGAGGCCCTGAGCAAATGCCTAGTGTTCCCATGCCTTAAGACGTCACTGAAGTTGGTAATAAATGTGTGCAAGTTAAAAACTCACCACTAACTTGAAGAGTTGAACATTGCTATCTTTATAAATTGTTGAAAGTTTGAACTTTATCTTCAATTGAACACCAACGTCCTTTTGTGCAGGTGATGCCTTTTTAATATTAGCATCATTGAGAGCAATATCAGTTGTATATGAATATGTGTATATTTTAGATGGATCATAGTTCAATGACAAACCTGTGGAAAGAATTTAGACTCTTATTTTTTTTTTAAAACTTTTAGCACGATATACAATAATGATCCTAACACTTGTTGACTTAAGCATGTATCTAATATTTATTTAATAGCTAATATCACCATCTACTTTAAATTTTCATTTATTGAACAAAAAAATAATAATTTTTGTACCTAATCTAAAGCAAAGTGATGACAAACACTTATAAAAACACAATTATATTATTATTTCAATGTAACAATGATAGGGTTCTTAATATGATTTCCATAAACAAATGTCACATTTCTTTGAGCACTTTTGTTTTATTAAATCTAAGACCTGTGCAATAATTTTTCAATAAATGTTTGAAAAGATTATCCAAAAATTTAAGTATGAAAAGTGTGATAAATTTGCTGCTTCTAAAGGGAAAATTAAACAAATTTACACGATTTACTTTTTACCTATTTTTTTCTTTAAAAAAGAACAAAACAAACAGATGTAGTATTGACTTAGAATCTATAAACATAATTTAACACACATTTTCTTACAATAATATTAAATTTTGTTTAAATTCCTTTTGAAAAATCAAAATTTATTTTATAATTTTGGTAAATTTTGTTTGTGGTCACTGACTTTTATATGGATCTTACTCTTAGTATTCAGTTAGTTTGCTACATAGATCCATGTAAGGCATGTATCAATTATTGCACAAATTTTATCATTTATTATATTTTTATCAATTAAAAAAAAAATTAAGCTATAACTTAGTATAACTTACATTGTATAATGGAAGATACTGCAAATAAAGCAAATAAGAAAAGCCTTTGGGTCATTCTGTCACGTTCAAACCTGAATAGGTATATTATTTTATGACAATGACATGATTGATGTAATCGACATATGATAATGATAATAACTAAATCAATTAAGAAATTCAAATTGGGTTTTTAAAATTTTATTTAATACGGGATAGGCCTATAAACTGTAGTATAGGCCTAAAAAGACGTTTACATAACAGTGATCTCAATTTATTAGCTTCATGTTCAGTCCACTTTAAATAAATCTTTGTAAAACTTATTCATAAATGTCAGGTGTAAGACTAAGTACACCGTTTAACTTTAATACTAAGTCAGTAAGGGATAATAATAAAATATTAGCCTACCACATGTAGTGATGTAATGTAAAGTAAATCTAATTAATTAGTTACTCAAGAGTCAAACCAATACACTTTGACTATGTTAAATGTGTAGGACAACTCATCATACTTCATACATAATGTACTGTACACTGTAACTACACTGTAGGCTACAGACACTGACTTGACTGAGTGCATTATTCAAGGCAATTTATTAATGTCTCAAACTCAAGTCTCAAGTGAGTCAAGTCACTCAAGAAGACATCATATCAAGGATTAGTAATTAATAATAATAATAATAATAATAATAATAAAGTGTAAACATGCTTCATCCCCAAAGCCCAAAGGCTCGAAGCACGGTACAAAAGTAAAAAAAAATAAATTAGTAGTTAAATATGATAATCTGATTATAATAATAAGTTAAATATGACTATGACTATCTGCGGAAGTCTCTCACTCACTGTTCAGTTCACTCTGTGTAGTGTACATCTATTTATTTATTTGTATAACTAGTAAACTAGTCTAAGTCTAAGTAGCAATTTAAGAGTAATGACGATGTCCCCAGCCAATATAGACTATAGAATAATAATAATATAGGCCGCGTTATAGTAAAAATAATATATAATATAGGCTTAGGCAGGGCGCCGCCGCTTGGCTTATGATAAGTTTTATGCATACTTTTAGTAACTTTTACTTACACACACACATGCACCGTTCAGTTCACAATTTTACAAATCAAAGTCACGGCACAGTTGCTAATTTTAAGTCATGCAAAGTTTACTTAGTTCTAATAAAATGGTACTAAAATGTTACTTTTTTACTTTTAAAAATTATTTTAATTATTATTATATTATATGGTCTACTCTACACGTCTACACACTACACTGTCTACACCAGAGACGTCAGGGCGTAGGCCTATTTTTTAAATTTAACTTTAAGATTTTAGTTGGTTACACTACAGTATAAGCTACACGCAACTTCTACTACGATATTAAATAAAAACTTGCGAATCCAAAACACTCAAAACTGATATGATAAAATAAGTTTCTGTCGACTGATGCGACCACTCACTGTTCTATGTTAAACACTAGTAGTTGTTAATAATAAAATTGTCGACTGCTACTGCTATTATGCTACGTGGGATTTCCCGCAAACACAAGGGAGCATCCTTGACTACTAATTTCTTTAATTTTAAAATCAAATAATTATATATTATTACTTCCTAAAGATACTATAAAAATAAATACAAAATTTTAAAGTTATTTAATTTATTATTTTTAAATGTTTACTGAAATATACACATTGTTCGTGCATAAAATAAAAATTATGAATGACTACAAATATCCCATAATCACGTGACATTAACAAAAAATGGCTGCGCCCATTACAACATGACAAATAGCAATCATTCATAATCACATTCATGACAGTATTAACAAAGCTATTTTGATACCTATACATTTTCTATAGAACATGGATGCAAATACTGAAAATACCGATTATAAATCAAATGAAGTCCAATTACTGTCAGAGAATTCTGGTTGTCCGATTTCTGAAAATGACACTGAAAAGAAAATATCAAAGAACCAACTGAAAAAACAACTCAAACGGGAAAAGTGGCTTGCCATAAAGCAAGAAAAGAGGTGGCTGATTATTATTATTAAAGTTACTGATACTGCTAGTAGTAGTAGTGCTAGTTACCATTATTTACAATATATGGGTTGATTTCCTATTTTCACCTCTTATAGCCAGGGCCTAATTTTAATTTTAGCCATGTTTTGTTAAAGTTAAAGGCTGAAAGTGAAAGAGTGTCATTCATAATTCACAATGTAGGCCTAATAAATATTTAAATACTAATTTAGTAGAAGGAAGAAGATAGCCTGTCATTCTGGTGTGGTCTTACTTCGTTTAATACACAATAAAACAATTACAAATGCATCAATTGACTTTTTAAAACTACTTGGGATTAGAGTGTAGCTGCATGGGCATGGGGAATAAGATGCTGATATTAGAATTAGAGTATACATTTAAAATATATTTCAACATTTCCATAGTTTAATTTTGAAAAATTGTTCTCATATAAAATCTTTTGTAGGCGTGAAGCAAAACAGAAAAGAAAATTAAGATTTGCTATGATGAGGGAGAAAGGAGAAGACACTGGACCAACTAGGAAACGTCTGAAATTAAATACCATGAGAGGATCATCTTGCAAAATAAGGGTTGTTATTGATCTGTCAATGGATGACCGTATGACAGAGAAAGTAAGATAATATATAAAATATTGTAATGTAAAATTATTTGTGAAAATAATGCACCTTTCAGGATCCCACCATATTATGCCATAAAATAATAATTACCAATGTATGGTGCCTAACTCTACTGATGTCCACAAGGGGAATTTAGTAGTAGACTCACTTTGACATCACATCATATATAGTTTGACTTCTGATAAATTAATCTTTACTGCCTATGGTGTATTAAAAGAATACTAAACTACCACACAATTTTGATTGGGTTAAATTTAAGTAAAGGAATATTTGTATCCCTTGTACTTTTAAATCTATTTGGTGTTTTTGGATTTCAACCTAAAAATTAATTTTAAAAATACCTGCAATTTTAATTAAATTGTAAAAGCATAATATTGTGCGAAAAAATATCTAAAATATAATATGATAGTTAGTTAACTCATGAAAATGCAGTCTGCCATGTTTAAATATTGTAATAGATTTTCTCCAAATATTTAAATAAGATGTCTATTAAATATTCACACTAGTTGCTTTTACCCATATAAATATAATTAAAAAATAATAATTCTATTACAAATTACAATATTCTGCAATCTAGAATATAATACAGATAAATCCCTAGGAGTTACCATAAATGAGCTAAATGAAATAAGATGGGCATAAAGGTAAGGACAACAATAGGCAAATTCTCATATTTCAGTCTACAAAAGTACTTGGAAGCAGAAATGTCTAAACCATATACTTTTATTATCTGACCAGTAACTTTGCATTCAAGTGTGAAATAGACTCTGAATAAAGAAGCCTAAAACCTCCTGAATAAATGAGAGAGGGAAATCCTTAGAAAAGGGATGAGCCTGCTGAAGTTAAAGATGGATAAAGAATTCAAACAAATCAAGAAATGTAGCATATATCTGAATACCCAACTATAGTCGCGGCAATAAAAATAAAAAGGGCTGGCTATGCTGGACAGGACGTCTTTAGAGGCTGCATAATTATAGAGGACAAAAAGTGGTTGACAGACAGAACTCGAGGGTTCAGAGGGCTCACTGGTAGACCAAGACTGAAATGGTTTAATGATGTAGAGATGGACTTATTCAAGTGGGGATTTGTACTTGGAGACAAAAAGTCACGTCTTAGTCTGAATGGAAAGATGTGTTGAAGTAGGCCAGAGCCTTACCATGGGCTGTAGCACCACTGGTGATGATGGTAATTTCTTATCCTCCAAAAGATCATTATTTAAATTTTGGTTTTAAAGTTTTATTCTGCTACATAGAATTTGTTTTTCAAATGCTAATTTTGTTCTATTGTAGGATGTGAATTCTTTAACTTGTCAGTTACAGCACAGCTATTCTGCAAACCGCAGAGCTAAGAATCCAATGCAAGTAAATAAAAATTGTTGTACCAAAGTATTGTTTATTAAGATGCTGGAAACCTGAACAGGTTAACATTTACTGAATAGCAGTGATTAGCAGTAATATTTAATTTCTTACTTTTGCCATTTTTTAAATTTAAAAAAGGACTACACTCTAAATTGTATCTATATGGCATCCTTCCATCTTCGCGAGACTAATGGAGTAGCTATTGACTCTTCATCAAATGGCTTATGATGCCAATCCTGGAATGGCTGTCTCATCTGCACTTCTCACAGAAGGACCTTGACTTCTGATTAAATTTGACTTTCCAAATTATGAAATCCTATAGTTAAAAAGTATTTAAGAGTTCTGCAAAACTGTGATAAGGTTATTCTTCATTTTCTTCCTCATTTTTTTCCTTAGTTGTATCTTTGTGGACTTGATGGCAAAACTAAAGAACGGTTAGATTTGATTGGAGACTACAAAAACTGGGATGTAAGTTACCTTGCAAATGAAAACTTTATAGGAAGTCTAGTTTTTAGTGGTTAACAGTATACTTTATATAAACATAATTTAAAATGACTTTTTATATTCTCAGAAATATATTAATTAATGCTATTTTCAATTACTATAAATGTGATTAAAAAGAGAAATGTGTCAATAAACATTTTCAGTTGTATAAAGAGAGTCGTCATTATGAAGAAGTATTCCCCAAGGAAAACCTTGTATATTTGACCAGCGAGTCACCTAATGTTCTTACTTCACTTTCTGAAGACAAGGTTTACATAATTGGAGGCCTGGTGGATCACAACAAGCTCAAGGTTTTATAGCTACGCCATAATTCCTCACTCATACTTTTAATAGTGTCCAGAATAAATTGTTTACTTTGATTAATGCTTATACTTTAGGAAGAAGAAAAAAGTAGACATAGAATACCGATATCTTAATAACTCACAAGTAAATGTGTCCACATTGCTAATATAGATTAACTTTTATTTTTTAAGTATCTTTTTCCAAACAGCATCTTAACAAGAAATAAATTAAATGAAACTCATTATTTCTTACTGTTGAAATAGTAAAAAAGTTAAGCGTTCATGATATTCAAGTCACAATTTTGTTCTTCAACCAGTTCCTTATTTTCAGGGATTTTGTCATAACCTTGCTGAAGAAAAGGGTTTGGCCCACGCTCAGCTTCCAATATCTGAGTATCTGAACATGAAGACTCGCAAAGTTTTGGCAGTTAACCATGGTAACTATTGTTCAGTTTTTTTTTTTACAAAACAGCAGTTTGCAGACCAGTAATTTAAAAAACAACTTTTAATGGAATGCTACTTCAATTGGTTCCTACATCCACATGTAGCATTATAAGCTTGTGATGATTCTTTGATGTTGTTATAGTCCACCTATGTAGACATCACCAAGACTTAAAAGATCCAGTGGCCCTTTGGGCATGTGCCCTGCAGCCATGGTGAATAATTTAAACACTCTCCGCAGCAGCTCTTTTTTGGTATATAGGGTGTTGGTGTAGGCCGTTGTTTTAGATAGTTGTTATGATATAAGGGGCACATTGGTGTTTGATCTGGTTTTATGCTGTTACGATGGGAATTATGTTATATGTATCCTGAGCGCATGCAAAATATTACAACCTGTTTGTGTCTTTGAAGGCAGTTTATTGGATCTTTAAGCTCTTGGCTGGGCATGTGTATGAAATCTTCCTGTTACGCCCAAGGCCCTTCCATTTAACCACTTTTTTTTTTTCTGATAGCATTGATTTTCTGCTTTATAGTGTTGAGTGATGTAGGTATATTTGGCTGTGTAAAGAAAAAGGATTTATAATCTGATAATAGCTTGTCTATATATTGTACAATTCTTCTTTTAGTGTTCTCCATCTTGCTGAGGTACACAGAGTGTCATGATTGGAAGGCAGCTTTCCTAGCTGAGTTGCCAGCAAGAAAGCAAGCCCTAATCAAGGATGAAGATGAGTGCAGCCATGAACAGCTGGACAAAACTGGTCTCAATCTTTTACAAGACAATTTGTCATCATCAGAGGAGCAGAGCTTGCCTAGTCAAGATGTAGGTTTACCAAATATTGATGTCTTAGACAGTAGTGACCAGACCCCAGTTGGTAGCTGTAGTAATCTGACTGAACCAAGCACTGGACAAGTTGTAACAAGTTCTGAATCTCTGTTAAATAATAATACTAGCCGAGTGGATCCATCAAGTCATGAAACTGAAGAAGAGAGTTCTTAAAATAATATATTTTTGGGTTAGGATTTTGAAAATAAAAATAATTTTAAAATTCTCTATTTAATTGTGCTGAAAATTTTGTATCTCTCAGAAGGTCGTGTGATTGATATGATGTCGAGCAACTCCAACGTTGTCTGCGCTATGCCGTTAGTCTTAAGGTGGTTTTTTTTGTGCAATGAAGCTAATGATAAGCTCTTATTTGCTGTTTAAAACTAACTTGTGAATTTTTATTAAAATAGCCAAACTATTTAACCGTGCTTGTTAAAAAAAAATCTGACTAGTTTTTGTCTAAGGTTACCGGTACACACAAATGACTGATTGAAAAATTGACTTGGTGATGATGCATCACTTCACAGTATAAATTCACAGACTGATCTCCTTTGGTACCCAAAACAAATCCCTGAAAATAAAAGGTCAATGATTGCTTATTTGCTTATGAATATCATTGGTTTCTAATGCAAATAATAATAACTAAAAACATTTTACGATGAATTTCTTTTGCTAACCAGACTTTTTTGAGTCTTGCTACTATACCATGTTTAGGAAGATAGCGTGATTTGTATCATTGTTCAAGAAATTCTGTAGTTTTTAGGGACAACGTAAGATGTATCATTGTTGAAGTAATTCTGTAGTTTTAAGCACAACGTGAAACAAGTTTTATCATTAAAATGAAAATAATTTTATTCCTTTTAAAATTGTGGAAATATGAAAATTGTTTTCATTATCACAGTTCGAATAATTACATTTACATTTTAAAAAATGCAAACAATATCAGGAACAGAAAGTGTTAGTCCCATTCATCACCAACAACAAACAATGAAGCTCAAAAGTCACCATCACAAATATATATACCATATATATATATATAAAAATATATATATAAACACGTACATGCAAGTTAAAGTATTTTTTATGCTTATATAACATTATGTTACATATATATATATACAATATGATATTTGTAAGTGGATTACAGCCATGCAAAGCATAGAGTAGGAAAGGAATTTATTTTTTAATTCTCTTATTTTAAATATTTGTTTTGATTATTTCAAAACATCACTTATCAACTCTGACATGAAATAACACTCTTGACAACTAAAACAAGAAAGAAAAAATGTACTTTATTGGGAATCAGCTGCTTGAGCTTCTTCACAATCTATGATTCTAATGGATCCTATGTGGCATTTGAAGTACCATTTTATAGTTCACAAGTCATAGTGTAAGGGTCAAAATGAAAACTAAAAGGGTCTGAGATAAAGTGAATTGAGACGTTGTAAAAGTTACTAACATTGAAACATACATTTTGAACAGATGGGACGATACTTACTGAACATGCAATAATACTGTTAGAAATAGACAAAAATAAATATTGAATTTTATTACTTATACTTAGTATACGTAATATACTTATTCAAAGGCATGATTTATTAAATGTTCCTTAACTTATCTGAATACTTTTTTGTTCACTTCAAGTCCGATGTTTTTTTCCCTTTCATTGAGCATTATTAATACATCCCGGAATGAAGCCAAAAAGAACCGTATTAATTTAAGACTTTTTTTATAATGAACTTTCTTAGCTTTTGTCATTTAAACCAACCCTCATGAACTACCAGGTCACTACAACTAATCTGATATCTGGCTTAGTAAACAATCGCTATAATAGATTGACATTATTTGATTTACAGTAAATATTTTTAACTAGCTGGGCCAACGCAGCATCTTGAGTGTGTAAAATAGGGGAAGAGGGGGCATGATCTATAATAATAATTTCAGATGGTGCTCCATAGATCCACCAATGCTTTGTTGTATTGACTCTATGTGTGTTCTTTTGTGTGCATGAGAGACCATCATTGTGGGCAATTGGGGCAGACAAAATGCAATCGGAAATTAGATTACAAAAATCAATTAAAAATGATAGCGAAGAAAATTTATATTTATAAAATTTATTTGATAACACTTAGTTAAAAACATAATACCAATTAGATCAATGTGTAAATGATTATTTCTATTTCATGTATTTAATCAAATACAACATGTAATCACATACAGATTTGATAAAAATGGAAATGGTACATTTAATAGTGCGAGAATTACACATAAATACAGTGTTACACCAAATGTTCAAGTTTACCTATGGTAAGTTGAACATATTCATCGGAGGTTTGAGAAACGCTGATTCCAAGAGATAAGTTTGCGTGATTTTAGAATGTGTTGAGTGACTGATTCTGCATCCACATCGGCTCTTGCTTCTCCTTGGGTTGTGCCTTGGAGTACTTGAGTTGTGCTTTTTGTGGTGGGGTCTGCTTCTTGCTGGATCCGGGTTTCTCAGGTCTCTGGACGGTGGTCAGTCTGGCCGGTTGAAGAGCGGTCTGTGATCGCCGTACAGCAGGTGTAGATGGCTTTGCTGAATCATTGCTGGGGGGAAAGGTTTGTGGCTCTGTGAAATAGAAATGTGGGGAAAAAAATGAAATAAGTGCTAGTGATTTTAAAAGCAAACTGTATTCTCCTCACAAACTGTCTTAATATTTAACACAGATTAAATTGACTTAACAAAAAAAGCTAGTAATAGGCCTATCGCACAAACTTAACATCATTCAAGTTGAAACTAGTTGAAGACAAACGCTGTTGTAAAACTAAACAAAAATGTGGATGTTGCATCCCACCCACTGCATCACAGATACCTAAGATCACATCCCACCCACTGCATCACAGATACCTAAGATCACATCCCACCCACTGCATCACAGATACCTAAGATCACATCCCACCCACTGCATCACAGATACCTAAGATCACATCCCACCCACTGCATCACAGATACCTAAGATCACATCCCACACACTGCATCACAGATACCTAAGATCACATCCCACCCACTGCATCACAGATACCTAAGATCACATCCCACCCACTGCATCACAGATACTTAAGATCAGGACGATTTCTTCCTCATTAAAGTTAGGACCAAAAAAATATAAAAATTATATTGTTCCCCAGTGTGTACGAATTTAACAGCGTTCTCACCCAGCGATTACCACATCTAAATAATCTCTAATGCAGTCGTTATTGTCACTAAGGGAGTTCATTGATGGCTGATTTCTACGATGGAGAAATACTTTTAATGTCTTGTGTTTTAATTGTCATAATAGTGGAATGTTGTCTTGGTTAAGAATATGTATTTATTTATGTGCTGAAAATGAATATGTACAATATCAATTATCATCAAAAAAAAATTCCGTTTATTTGGATCAATAAAGAATCTTATCTTATCTCATGCTCAACCAACCACAGTCAACTCACATAGCATAGCCTCTCACACACTCACTATCGGGTCTGACTTACCAGTGTTATCACTATCACTTTGCCACTTTTGTTCTCTTGATTCAGTAGGTCCCTCGTGACTTGGTTCTGGCTCAGATGTCACAACTTTCTGCCACAAATGGTCATTCAGATCTGGGTTAACGTCCTCTAAGACCAATCTGTTCAAATAAAGCAATGACAATCCGTTGCATGTACAGTAACAATGACAATGGGTGACATAGTGACATGGACAATGACAGTCGATGGCATGGACAATGACAGTCGGTGGCATGGACAATGACAGTCGGTGGCATGGACAATGACAGTCGGTGGCATGGACTATTAACAAAATGATCCAAGATTTTTAGCAAAACACGTGTTTTAAAAAAGAGACATTTTATATTTAAGCTTATGATAGTTTATCTATTATTCTATTTTGTATTTCAAAAATCTCCCAATATCTAAATCGATTCTTTTTAACTCACCTATTTGTCTCACCGGCTGAAGAGCCCGACTTGGTATTAATGGGAGGTAACTTAGAAGTCCCGTTGTCTGGAATGAACTCAGCTGGATATTGCTTGTAGTAGTCTTCCCTGCCAGCAATGGCCGACCTCACTAGTCCCATTACCAATTCTTTCTCTGTACCAACAAAAAATATGATTTAAATGACAAATAACGTAGATAAATTTTGAATATGGACAGTATGTAGACCTAGTTATTTATACATGCAAACAATACAGGCGAAGATGCAAAGGGAGGTAATAACATCACCTCTAGGTCCAGCCGAGCACAGCCACGCTTGGACTGCGTTGAAATCATCTGTTTGTAGAATCTGACACAACATCACAAGTACCTGGAGGTATTTTAAAAGGAAAGGGGTGGGACAAAATAAACAATTTAAAAAATCATTCGAAATTCAAATATATATTTAAAAACTAATTTAAATGAAGAGAAGTGGCGAGGAAAAGTTGCGCCCGGGGAGAAGTCCTAGACTGAGAAATATAAAATTGATTCTAACCCCCTTGTCTTTGTGACGTGCAAGGGATTTTATCATTTAATTCACTATTATAAGGTCTTAGCTAAAGACAATTTTGCCACCATATGATGTTGGCGCCCAGGGCGATTGCCGCGTCGCACGGCCCTGATATGGTAACAGTACTGTTGTACAATCTCATTTCACATGTGAAAGGTCCGCGACTTGTGAATATTCACATCTTATTATTGATTGGTTCAATGTGTTGTGGCGTCTGTGGGTGAATAATTATAAATTCAGATAGGTAGTTAGATAAGAAAGGATTAGATTCTTTATTGATTCAAATGAATGGGAATGTTTTTGATTACATTGTACATATTCATTTTCAGCACATAAACAAATACATATTTTAATCAATAAATTTTTTTACAGTCATAACAATATAAACACAAGACATGTTAAGTATTTCTGTAACGCAGAAATCATACATAAAATATAAATGAACTCCTCTATTGACAATAATGACTTTATTAAGACAGACAGACAGGAAAGTGTGCGGCCGACGTAAGATAAGCTGTTTTACACCTTTAAGCCTTTCGCCATTGACTTGGATCTTGTGCTCGACGTAAGGTTTTCGTGGAGCTGGTTGGACAAGGACCTCAGTCTTCTTGGGGATCATCGTAAGAAGAACGTTTTTCTGAGCATCCGAGAAGCTTGGAACAATGCGCTGCAAATCGGCCTCTGAGTCAGTGTCGAGGGCACCGTCGTCGGCATGCAGAAAGTTCCCCGATGATGTCTGTCCGGACCTTGCCAATGGATGTAGCGTTGAGTCTTCTGGGGTTAAAAACGTCACCATCAGTTCTGAATCTGATGCCGATTCCAATGTCTCCCTCCTTGAAAGCATTGGACAGCATGGCGGAGAGCATGAGACTGAAGAGTGTTGGAGCCAGGACGCCACCTCGTTCGACACCATTAGACACAGGGACTGGTTGAGACGTTCTTAAGATGTCAACTGAGACGGTTTAGGAGGATTCTAAAGTAAATCTCTTTAGTTTTTTTTTTTTTTTTTTTTTTAAACTGTGATCTGATAATTGCTATTCTTCTTTTTGTTTTGCTTTCCGATGAAGGCTCTTGGCCGAGACGTGAAAATCTTTTGTCCTGCTAATGAATTCAAGTCTATATAGCATACCTTGTTCTAAGATTTCATTTCACAATTTGAATGCAGTCCATCAATTATATCTTTTATTCTAGCTAGTATCTTGCCTACTACCGAGAGCAAAGATATGGCATACGGTAGTTGTCACAGGACGGACGACTCCTTTTATGCTTATCATGTAAGTCATGTAGAGCTTAGCTCGCGTGTCAAGATACAAACAACGAAATTAACAGAAAACCAAAGGATGCAAGGAAGAAAAGATTTGTAATAAAACTATATGCAATGGTTCGTTAAAAATAAAATTTGTCTTACTCTACAGTGCCGTAATATACTTTTTTTGCTGTAATGCTATGCTAATACTGGAATGGTGGGAGGTATTATTGTGGTGGATATTAAGATAATGCAGGAAGGTATGGTAATGGTGGATGGTATTATTGTGGTGGATATTAAGATAATGCAGGAAGGTATGGTAATGGTGGATGGTATTATTGTGGTGGATATTAAGATAATGCAGGAAGGTATGGTAATGGTGGATGGTATTATTGTGGTGGATATTAAGATAATGCAGGAATGT